CCTTCCTCTGCCTTACCTTTCCGTTTTTTTACTGAATTCTGTTTTCCTTTCTTACTCTTAGAAACTATGAACATCTCTGTAATGGCCTTTCTTTGCAACCATAACCCCTTCAGTTCTGTGCATTTCCTTGCTTTTTAAAATTTACTTCCTCCAAACAGAAGTTCAATTTCAACCCGAAACAACTGGATTGCCACGTCCTCCTCCTCCTCCTCCTCCTCCTCCTCCTCCTCCTGCTGCTCCTGCTGCTCCTGCTGCTCCTGCTCCTGATGGTAAGTCTCCTTTTCAAGCAATTATTGTCACTTGGATGTGGGGTTCTTGCTAGCATCTCCCTTCATGCTGCACTGCTTCTGTAGGCAAATACAATAATTTTAAGTGTAAACATAATTGAGCAATAAAAGTAGTGTTAACAGAAACATTCTGTAACTTTTCAGAAGAGAAAGGTGGATGATAGCAGAGGGATCAAAATTACTACAGTATTTTTTTTTTCTATTGGAGCCCCTTTGCTTAGGTTTTTTAATTTTCCTTTGGTTTTGGTTGCTTGGTGAGTTGGATTTTTTGGTTATGAAGAGTGTTTGCTGTGGGGTGGGTGGGTGGTTTTGGGGTTTTTTTTTTTGGTATTCCTGTTTTTGTCTCCCTCCCTCCCTCCCTCCCTCCCTCCCCTTCTCTTCTTTCTCTTCCTTCTCTTTCCTCTTCTTTTTTTTAACAAAGGCTTTTTCCATTCTTTCTATTAGAAACCATTAACATTTTGTAATACCCTTTCCTTGCAATGATAACCATTCCAGTACTCTGCATTTACTTGCTTTTAAAATTTACTTTCTCCAAGCAGAACCTTTGCAAGTTCACTTTGAACCCAAAACTGGTGATACACCACCTGCTCCTGCTCCTGTTCCTGCTCCAGATGGTAAGTCTGCTTTTCAATGTTATAGGCTGGGGACAGTGTAACTGGACAGGGCTCAGGTGGAAAACGACCTGGGGGTGCTGGGAGCATAAGCCAGCAGTGTGCCCTGTACTCAGCAATGGTGAGGCTGCACCTTGAGTGTTGTGTCCAGTTCTGGGCCCTCAGTTTGGGAAGGACATTGAGATGCTTGAGTGCATCCAGAGGAGGGCAGCAAGGCTGGTGAGGGGCTGGGAACACAAGTCCTGTGAGGAATGACTGAGGAAGCTGGGGGTGTTTAGCCTGGAGAAAAGGAGACTCAGAGGTGACTTTATCACTCTCTACAACTCCCTGAGAGGTGGTCATAGTCACGTGAGGGTTGGTCTCTTTCTCCAGGCAGAACTGACAGAAACAGAGGACACAGTCTCAAGCTGCACCAAGGGAAATATGGGTTGGATATAAGGAAGAAGATTTTTATAAAAAGGGTGATAAAGTTCTGTAATGGCCTGCCCAGGGAGGTGATGAAGTCACCATTCCTGGATGTGTTTGAAAGAAGACTGGATGTGGCACGCAGTGCTATGTTTTAGTTGAGGTGTTAAGGCATGGGTTGGACTTGATGATCTTTAAGATTGTTTCCAACCCAGTCATTCTATGAATTCTGTGAATTCTGTGAATATTGTGGGGTTTTTTTATTGGCCCACATTTGCATGTGTATTTTTGAATTTTGCTTTGATTGGTTGGATTTTTTTTGGTTTTGTGGAGTAGCAGTAGTGGATGGGTGAGTGGGTTTTTGTTTTTTGACTTTTTAAATTATTTTTTCTTATTGTCTACCTTTTTCTTTTCTTCCAAAGGCTTCTTCCTTTTATTGTGTTATAAAGCATTAATGTTTTTTAATCATATTTTCTTGTAAATATAACCATGTCAGTTTTGTGCATTTCCTCGCTTTTTAAAAATTTACCTCCTCTGAAGTAAATTTACTATCTCTGAACATATATTTTTTGGGTTAGCGTTGCACCCAAAGCACCCTGTGTAGGTGCAAATACAAAGGCAAATACAGCAACAATTAATTGAAAACATAATGGAGCATTAAAATAGTGCAAACAGAAATGTTGTGATTATTTTTAAAGGAGAGAAAGGGGATGATGAAAGCTAAGACAGGGGTTTAAATTATTTTTGGAATGGTTTTTTCTATTGTCCCCTATTTCCTTGTGGTGGTTTGTTTTTGTTTTTTTTTTTTTTTTTTTTTTTTTTTTTTTTTTTTTTTTTTTTTTTTTTTTTTTTTTTTTTTTTTTTTTTTTTTTTTTTTGGTTTTTTTTTTTTTTTTTTTTTTTTTTTTTTTTTTTTTTTTTTTTTTTTTTTTTTTTTTTTTTTTTTTTTTTTTTTTTTTTTTTTTAATAATAAAAGTGTTTTTCCTTTATTTCCACCATAAACCATTAACATTTTGTGACAGCCTTTTCTTTCAACCATAACCATTTCCAATCTGTGCATTTCCTTGGTTTTTAAATCTTACTTTTACTCAACAGCTATTTTTCAGCCTCATGTTTCACCCCAAGCAGCTGGTAGACCTATTGCTCCTTCTGCACCTGCACCTGCACCTGCACCTGCACCTCCTCCTGCTCCTGCTCCAGCTCCAGCTCCAGCTCCAGCTCCAGCTCCAGCTCCAGCTCCAACTCCTGCTCCAGCTCCAGCTCCAGCTCCTGCTCCTGATGGTAAGTCTATTTTTCAAGCAATTATAGTCTCTTGGATGGGGGTTCCTAGGCAGCATCTCCCTCCATGCTGCACAGATTCTGTAGGCAAATACAATACTTGATTTTAAACATAATGGAGCAAATAAACTAGTGCAAACAGAAATATTGTGATACTTTTTTCAGAAGAGAAAGGGGATGGTGAGTACTGCAATGTTTTTATTTTCTATTGGTCCCTATTTGCTTGGATATTTTTTATTTTATTTGATTTTATTTTAGGTTTGGTTGCTCGGTTGGTTTAATTTTTTGGTTCTGGGGAGTGGTGAGGGTGGGTGGGTTTCTGGTTTTAAATTTTTTTCTTTTATTTTTTTCTTTCTATTTATATTTTTTAACCGAACACTTCTTCCTTTCATTATGTTATAAACCATTAACTGTTTTTAAAGGTTTTTCCTTTCAACCATAACCATTTCAGTTCTTTGCATTTCCTTTTTTTAAAAAAATTTACCTTCTTTGACGTAAATTTACTTTCTGTGAACAGGTACTTTTCAGCCTCTTTTTTCACTCCGAGCAGCAGGTAGACCCACTGCTCCTCCTTTTCCTGCTGATGGTAAGTCTGCATTTCAAGCAACTGCAGACAGTTGGACGTGGGTTCAGAGCCAGCATGTCCCTTTATGCTGCACAGCTTCTGTAGGCAAATACAACAATACTTAATGCATTTCTTTGCATTCCATTTTTTTAAAAATTACTTCCTCTGAAGTAAATTTACTTTCACTGATCAGAATCTTTTTGGCATCACTTTGAACCCAAATCAGCCAGTACCTTGTACTGTGTCCTAGTTTGAAAACTAACAAGTGTGAGATTCCAAGTCAGAACTAGTATTTAATAGGACAATTAAAATAAAGGCAGAAAACACTGGCCTAAAGAGTCAGGATACAACCTGACACCCTGTTAGTCACGGTGGTGGTAGCAGTCTGATAAAATGGTGGCTGCAGTCCTGCTGAAGTGATAGATGTGGTTCTGCTAAAGCAGTGATCCTGTAGAAGGGTCTGATCTTCCTCTGAAGATCCAGAGGTGGTTATGCAGCTCTTGTCCTCTGGAAATCCAGTTGGTAAGGTTGTTCTGGTGTTCCAGTTCTCAGATTATATCCAGGTAGGAATGCTTGGCTCTCCCCATTGGGCAGAGCATCTCACAATGGGATGATGGAATTTTACGGGTGATGCAGTGAGGCCTTGATGGCCCATTGGCAGACACAGGCACCTGGAGGGAGTTGTCAGGAATGAGTCATGGAAAGGATAAAAAATACTGCCCCATTTCTCTGAACAGCTCAGCAGCTGTTGTAGATGGCAATAGAATGCATACGTCTGGGTTACATCTTACGTGATACCCTAAGACACTGAACTAAATGTACTTTCTCTGAACAGATTCCTTTCAACGTCGCATTGAACACCAAGAAGTTGCTACACCTCGTACTCCTGGTCCTGATGGTAAGTCTCCTTGTCAAGCAATTATTGTCCACAGTATTGGATGTGCATTCAGAGCCAGCCTCTCCCTTCATGCTGCACGGTTTCTGCAGACAATATAACAATACTTCATTGTAAACATAATGGAGCAATAACACTACTGCTAACATTTTGAATTAGCCATTTCTTGCAAACATAACCCTTCCAGTTCTGTGCATTTCCTTGCTTTTTAAAATTTACCTCCTCTGAAGTGATTTTACTTTCACTGAACAGACTCCTTCTGGCTTCCTGTTTCATCCCAAGCAGCTCGTGCACCTCCTGCACCTGCTCATGCTCGTGATGGTAAGTCTGCTTGTCAAGCAATTGGGATGTGGGTTCCTAGGCAGCATCTCCCTCATGCTGCACAGCTTCTGTAGGCAAATACAATAATCCTTAATTGCAAACACTAGGAAGCAGTAAAACTGCTGCTAACAGCAAAGTTGTGAGATTTTCTCAGAAGAGAAAGAGGATGCTGAAAGCTAACACAGGAATAAAATTACTGCTTATAGGGTTTTTTCCTATTGGTCTCCATTTGCTTGGACATATTTGGTTTTCATTTGGGTTTGGTTGCTGGGTTGTTTGGATTCTTTTCGTTTTGGAGACTAATGGTGGTGGGTGGGTGCATGTTTTTTGGTTTGGTTTTTTTTTGTTTGTTTTTGTTGTTTTTTTTTTAACTATTTAAAATGTATTTATTTATTTTTCTTTGGTTTTTTGGGGTAATTTTTTTTTAACCAAAGACTTTTTCCTTCCGTTATGATAGTTATGTTATCAACCAATACATGTAATGGCCTTTCCTTGCAACCACACCATTTCAGTGCTGTGCAATTCCTTGATTTATAAAACAAAAGCATTTTTTAGATTGAAAATTACTTTCTCTACATAGAATCTTTCTGGGGTCGAATTGGACACCAACTAGCCAGAACACCTCCTGCACATGCTGGTGCCAGTGATGGTAAGTCTGCTTTTCAAGCAATTTCAGTCACTTGGATGTGGGTTCCTAGCCAGCATCTCCCTTCATGCTGCACGCCTTCTGTAGGCAAATGCAGCAATACTTACATGTCAGCATAATGGAGCAGTACAACCAAACACAAACACAAGTGCAAACACAAAACTTCTGAGCCATTTTTCAGAAGAGAAAGGGGATGGTGAAAGCTAACACAGGGATTAAAACAAAGGGATTGAAATGAATGCTGTTATGGTTTTTTTTTCTATTAGTCCCCACTTGCTTAGATATTCTACGTTTTAATTTGGCTTTGGATGCTTGGTAGGTTGGATTTTTTTTTTTTTTTTTTCATTTTGGGGTGTGTTGGGTGTGTGTGTGTGTTTTGTTTTTGATAATTTTTTACTGCCATTTTTTATTTCCTTCCTTCCTGCCTTCCTCCCCTCCTCCCTTCCCTCCCTTCCCTCCCTTTCCTTCCTACCTCCCTGCCTTCCGTTCCCTTTCTTCCTTTCCTTTCCATCAGTTTTTTTTCCAGTTGGCTTTTTCCTTTCTTTCTGTTATAAACCACTAATATTTCTGAAATAGTCTTTCCTTGCAACCATAACCCCTTCAGTTCTCTGCATTTCCTAGCTTTTTTCATTTTTTCTTTTGAAAAAGTAAATCCTCTAAAGTAAATTTACTTTCCCTGAACAGACTCTTTTGGACCTCAATTTGTGCCCAAAGGAGCTGCTGCACCTCCTGCTCCTGCTCCTCATGGTAAATCTGCTTTTCAAACAATTACAGTCACTTGGGTCCCCAGCCAGCATCTCCCTTCACACTGCACAGCTTCTGTAGGCAAATACAGCAATCTTTAATTGTCAACATATACTGGAGCATTAAAACTAGTGCTTACAGAAATCTTCTGAGACATCTATCAGAAGAGAATGGTGGTGCTGAAAGCTAACACAGGGATTAAAATTACTACTGTGTGTTTTTTTCTATTGTTTTCCATTTGCTTGGTGATTTTTGGTTTTGTTTTTTTTTCTTGGTTGGTTGGTTAGAATTTTTTAGTTTTGTGGAGTAGAAGTAGTGGGTGGTTTTTTGCTTTTAGATTTTAATTTTTTTTCTTATTTTCCCTTTTTTTGGGTCAAATACTTCTTCCTTTCATTATGTTACATACGATTAATATTTTTTATTCATCTTTTCTTGCAAGCATAAACATTTTCTTGATTTTTAAAATTTACCTCCTCTGAAATAAATTTACTTTCTCTGAACAGATATTTTTCGGGTTAGTGTTGCACCCAGAGCGCCCCGTACACCTGCTACTCCTGTTCCTGCTCCTGCTGGTAAGTCTGACTTTTAGGCAATTACTGTCCTAGCCAGCATCTCCCTTCATGCTGCACAGCTTCTGTAGGCAAATACAGTAACAATTAATTAAAAACTTAATGGAGCATTAAAATAGTGTACACAGAAATGTTGTGATACTCTTCAAAGGAGAGAAAGGGGAGGGTGAAAGCTAATATTATTTTTTTAGCAATAAAACAGGGATTTAAATTATTACTAGAATGTTTTTTCTATTGGTCCCTATTACCTTGTGGCTTATTTTGGTTTTAGTTTGGGTTTGGATTCTTGGTTGCTAGTACTTTATTGGTTTTCAGGAGTGGTTGAGGAGGGTGGTTGGGCATTTGGTTATGCTTTTTTTTTCTTTTCTATCTTCTTTTAATTCCTTCCTTTCTCCCTCCCTCCCTCCCTCCCTCCCTCCCTGCCTGCTTCCCTCCTTTCTGCCTGCCTGCCCTACCTTCATGTTTTTCCTTTCTTTCTGTTATAAACCATTAACATTTTGTAACAGCCTTTCCATTCAACCATAACCATTTCCAATCTGTGCTTTCCTTGGTTTTTAAATCTTACTTTTACTCAACAGATATTTTTCAGCCTTATGTTTCACCACAAGCAGCTGGTAGACCTGCTGCACCTACTCTTGCTCCTGCCCCTCTTGGTAAGTTTGTTTTTCAAGCAATTGCAGACACTTGGATGTGGGTTCCTAGTCAGCATCTGCCTTCATGCTGCACAGCTTCTGCAGACAAATATAACAATACTTCATTGTAAACATAATGGCACAACAAAATTAATGCAAACAGAAGAGAAAGAGGATGGTGGAAGCTAACACAGAGATTAAAATTACTTCTGGAGGATTTTTTAATATAATGAGTCCCTAATTTGCTTAGATATTGTTGATATTAGTCTGTGTTTAGCTGCTTGGTTGGTCGGATTATTTTTTGGTTTTCCAGAGTGATGGTGGTGAGTGAGTGGGTGTTTGATTTTTTTTCTTTTAGTACTTCTTTTAATTGACTTTTTTTTAGGAACCAAAGGGTTTATCCTTTCTTTCTGTTATAAGACATTAATATTTTTCTAATAGACTTCCTTTTCAATCATAACCATTTCTATTCTGTGCATTTCTTGGTTTTTAAAATTTACCTTCTCTGAACAGCTATTTTGCAGCCTCATGTTTCACCCCAAGCAGCCAGTGCACCCCCTGCTCCTACTCCTGCTTCTGATGGTAAGTCTGCTTTTCAATAAATCAGTCTCTAGGATGTGGGTTCCTAAGCAGCATCTTCCTCCATGCTGAACAGCTTCTGCAGGCAAATACAACAATACTTGATTTTAAATGTAATGGAGCAAAAAAACTAGTTCAAACATAAATGTTTTGATATTTTTTTCAGAAGAGACGGGGGATGGTGAAAGCTAATACAGAAATTAAAAGTATTACTTTGATTATTTTTTTCCATTGGTCTCTATTTGTTTGAAAATTTTTTTGTTTCAATTTGGTTTCGGTTGATTGGTTAGTTGGATTTCTTGGTTTTGGGGAATGGTGGGTGGTGGTATAGTGTTTGATTTTTGAATTTTTACTTTAATTATTTCTTTTACTCTTTTTTTTTCCTTTTCTTTTTCCTACTAAAGGCATTTATGTTCTTTCTGTAATATATAATTAACATTTTTTGTAAATGCCTTTCCTTGAAACTGTAACCATAACCATTTCAGTTGCTTGTATTTCCTTGCTTTTAAAAATTTACATTCTCTGAAGTAAATTTACTTTCTCTGAACAGAATCTTTTCAGCTTCCCCTTATACTCCAAGGACCTCATACACCTCGTAGTCCAGCTCCTGATGGTAACTCTGCTTTTCAAGTAATTGTAGTCGCTTGGGTGGGAGTTCTTATCCAGCATCTCTGTTAGTCTTGCAAAGCTTCTCTAGGCAAATATAACAAATAGTTAAGAGTAAATATAATGGAGCAATAAAATTAGTGCTGAAAGAAAAGTTCTGAGACTTTGTTCAGAAGACAAAGCGATGGTGAAAGCCAACAGAGGGATTAAAATTACTTCTGTAATTTTTTTTCTATTTGTCCCTATTTGCTTATATACATTTCATTTTAGTTTGGCTTGGGTTGCTTGGTTAGTTCACTTATGGTTGGTTTTGGGAAGGAGTTATGGGTGGCTCAGTTTTTTCTATTCTGGGGTTTTTAAACTAAAATTATAACTATTTTTCTTTTTGTATCTTACTCTAACCAAAGGCTTTTTTACTTTCTTTTTCTTTTAAACCATTAGTGTATTTATAATTGCACATCTTTGCAACCATATATATTTCTGTTCTGTGAATTACATTGGTTTTTCAAATTCATCTTTTCTGACATAAATTTACTTTCTGTCAAAAGAATCCTTCCAGATACTCTTTGTACAACAAGGAACGAGTACACAACGTAGTCCTGGTCCTGAAGGTAAATCTGCTTATGAAGTAGTTAGAGTCACTTGCATGGGGGTTCCCAGAGAGCATCTCCCTTCATGTTGCACAGATTCTGTAGACAAATACAACACTTTATTATAATGATAAGGAAGCAATTAATCTAATATTAAGAGAAATGTTCTGAGACATTTTTCAGAAGAGAAAGGGGTGATGTAACTGACACAGGGATTAAAATGTTTGTAAGAGAGGCTGTAGAAGAACTTTGTTTCCTTTATTAAAAAAAATTAAAATCATGAGGTATCAAATATGTATGTAAGGATATGTAAAACTTCAAATAAAATGAAATTCCTACAATTCCAAGAGCACTATACTTGTGCAAATGTCCTGTGTCCATTAAAGAGAAATATATAATATTCAGCTGCCGTGTATTTCAAGTAAGCAGTTAACACAAGGACCAAACAATTCTTACTATTACAAAAATATAACATTGTGAGAGGTATGTAACAGCAAATGTACATTTTCTCTTGATTTGTTTTTTATTCTTTTGCTTCTTCCAGCAAGCTGGGGAGAGCCAAGACATAGAACCTACCTTGATTCCAGAACTGACACAACCTCCAGTGTGGCACCCTACAAGGCCTCTACTATGTCTGGAATCGACACAATCTCCGGGGTGTCACCCCAGAGAACCTATCCTGTGTCTGGCAGTGATGTACCCTCCAGTGTATCACCTTACAGAACCTATCCTGTGTCTGGCAGTGATGTACCCTCCAGGGTGTCACCCTACAGAACCCACACTGTGTCTGCAAGTGACGTATCCTCCGGTGCGTCTCCCTACAGAACCTATGCTGTCTCTGGGACTAATATAGCCTTTCCTTCCTATCATAACC